TGTAATTTTGGCGCTTAATTAATTTTCAATGGCTCCTAAATGTAACTTACACTGCTAAAGTGAAGAGCGTGGCAGACGTGGATATTTCTAAATTTCGTGGCAATTCAATATATTTCTCAAATTGAGAAACTTCAGAAAGCAGCTGCATGATCAGTTACGCCTCGCATGTAAAGTATCTTTCGAGAGTGGTTTTTCATTTACGTAAGACGAATTGCATGAAAAATTTCTGAAATCGTTTTTAGGCTGTTCACACAGCGAATGAATTTCTGGCAATCTTTTTAAACACTCAAATGCCACCATAAGCCGCTTTTCCGTTTGTTTTTTGCCTTGTTTATTATTAACTTAATTTTCAATTTGAAGAATGGTTTATTTTTTATAACTATTTAATACTTCTATATTGGCATTAATAGATAATGAAGTATTCAATTTTTATTATTATTTTATTTATTTATTATTATTTTATTTTTTTGATTTAAAGCTACCCGGAAATTAAAAAAAAACCGATTTGAAAATTTTAAAAATAGTTTGCACTTTATTGTTTTTAACCGACTTCAAAAAGGGGAGGAGGTTATCAGTTCGTCGGAATATATATATATATATATTTATGTTTGTTGCCGCATAACTTTGGGACCACGTTAACAGATTTCGATAATTCATTTTTCATCGGAAAGGTGGTACCTCAAGGGTTGGGTCCCATACTAATTTTGTTTAGATCCGATAATTCGATCGTGAAGAAATTAACGATAATCATAAATTTTTATATGAGCATTGAAGTCGGTTTTATTTTTTGCTTAAAAATTACTTGTGGAATGTTTAATTCCAACATATATTTCGAGTTTTCTCTGGGTACAAATTTACTGACTATTCAGGTAAAAACGAATAAATAACTATAGTGACTCACACTCAAAATTGTAGTGATCTTTATATAATATTCGCAATGTTTTTGATTCGAATTTTTTTTTGCAAAGATTACGGGCCGGTTGTTCAATGTCTGGTTATCACTACCACTACACTATCGACGATTTCGACATCATGCATGTAACATGTGATCGATAAAGCAGTCGTTGTTCTTAACCGGAGCTTTTACCTCCATAAGAAAAGAAACCAACAAAGTTTGATTAGAATTGGAAATTTCAGTTAAAATTTCTAGAAATTATCTGCGTACAAAAATACGCATCTAAAGCTATATTATTTAATTTATCTCTTCTTGTTTCACATAAAAGACATCTGTGCGATATTTCTACAATTTAATTTATAAATTCTTGAAATTAAATGTAAACTCAAAATTCACTGTAATTTTCCACATTCCGCCACTGCGATTTATTTTGAATTCTCAGCTATAAATAAATCTTTGTCATTCGGTTAACATCGTACCGGCCAAAATTTATTTAACAAAGTGTGATTGAATTTGACATTTCTCTCATAAAAAAATTTATATTTTTTGACATTATAGTCCCTTAAAAGAGAGCCGCACTGAGTTGTCAATCGCACTTAATTTAACACACCTTGGTACCGACCGTCGTGAATGTATCTATTCTCTCATTTCTTAATTTGTTTTGCTTAGGATTTTCTAAAATATTGCGATTTATTTCCAACCATGTGCTGACATTTAGCAATATTCCTCAGAATGTTATGGGAATACCTGCATTGTATATTAAAACACATCCACTTTTTATTAGGGGTATTCTCTGAGTCTTGCAAAGCCCTTGCACGGTGCACGGATTGCACGGTTTGCAAAGCTGTCCCATACGAAAACCGGTTTTTACCGTGCAATCCGTGCAATCTGTGCACCATGCAAGGGCTTTGCAAGACTCAGAGAATACCCCTACTGATTATTTTTATTTTTTCTTACTTCAAGTCGCAACTCCATTGCCAACCGTCAAATTACCGTTGCTTAATATGTTTGACAAGTTTTTTTTTTCATACTTAAATATTCCTTCAATTATATTTACTGTATTTTAGCTGGTATTTGTACACAAATGATGTCTTCATTGTTTTGGTCCTGTAATTCCCATTTGACTAGTACATGGACCTGCAAAGAAATTACAAAAATTAATGATAAAAACAAATGAATATACTTTAAGACAAATTTTTCTTTTTAAAGTTAGTTAGATTATTTCAACCGAGGAAATTTTGAAACAAATAAAAACTGCTTTTGTAAGGCAATTCCATTTAATTTTTTACTGGCTTTTATTTAAGTTGCTATGTATGTTTGTATATCGTCGATGTTTCTGCAAAACTGTTCATCGTCCAATTGCAAAACCGCCTATCTTATGGCACTAAAATTTTACAGGAGAGCGAAAAAGCGGGTTTTCTTTGAAGGCATTGCTTTGAGAGGCGGTATTTTCTCTACCTAATATTTTAGAAATCTGTTGTTTTAATAACGATTTTACGATTTTTATGCATAAATCTCGATGCCTGGAGTTCAGGGTTACCAAATCTAATTTTTACCACAACGGCGATTCAGGCGGTTTTGCAACTGGTCGATTTTCGGTTTTGCAAAAACATCAACGATATGTATGTTTGTTAGGGGCAAATCTTGTAATCAGAACCCGATGACAATGCAATACGAAGGACAAGTTAAGCCGATAGGTGGCGCAGGGGTCGAGATATTTGAAAAACCCATATTTATAGTTGGATTTCGTTCATTTTTAGAAAGCTTGCTTTAAAAATATTTGTTTTTACAATAAACTTATTTTCTGTCGCGAAATATATGTATTTGAAAGCTATGAGCTACCTCTGCAATACAATTGGTTAACAATTCGGAAATGATTGGAAAACTAACATTTTTTTCAAGTCTCACCTTCGATAACGAATGTGGAATAGGTTAGTATTCGATTCGAGAACTAAGTCATTCCCCAGCAAAACGGAACCTTCGTTATCCAATAAATTTTTCCTTCATTATGATCCATTATCGAAGTGAAATTTTAATGAGAGAGAGTGATTGCATTATATTTCCATTCGATTTCACTTCTTCTCTTGTTACTATGGTTTTAATTTTTTTCGAACCCATCTCGAATGTATTTCTAATGCACTATGAACGTTGGAAAACTAAGGTTGGTTATGAGTTCGTTCTCAGTTCGATATTCATATTGGATATCGAAGGTAATTTTCGAACGTTCGCCAAAATGTTTATAGGGAAGAAACAACTGTTCACTTAACAACAAAAGTTCTTACTTATTTACGGAAAAAGCGTTTAAAGCACAAAAAAAGTTTGTCCAATATATTAGAAGCTGAATTATATATTTAGATACGCTGGGAATGAGTCAAGATAATCTTTCAGTGCTTATATCTTTTCACAAAGTTCACCGACTTGGAATCCGACAATTTTTGGCTAACCTCTGCAGTTTGCTGCTTCAGATCGCCCCAAAGGCCGAATCACATGATTGGAGCATTTGTACGGATTTGTACATTTTGGCAGCCACAGAGTGGTGTTGTCTAGAAATTTTTATCAAGGTTGAGTTCAGCTTAATACAAAATTTTCAAACAACCCCACTCTGTAATTGTCAAAATGTACAAATCTGTACAAATGCGCCATTCGTGTTAGTTCGGCTTAAGTCGTATAACTGAGCAATTATAGAATGTCGTCGCTTGGTGCGCAATACCTCGTATCGGCCAAATACAATACCACGTCTGAGGTGGCACAGAAAAAATATTATTTTGCTTACCCTACCTGAATGCTAGCTTACTTCAAAAATTTATTGGTGAATAATTACAAGTATAGTAGAAGCTCATTAATAAGCTCAGTTAGAAAACCATTCAAAAATTTTGAAGAAAATATTTTTGTTTGCTCTTTTGTGAAATTTTTGGACTGCTTATACGTGCTATTTCATTCGGCGGACATGAGGTATTGCGCGCCAAGCGACGATATAGATTATAAATTAGATATTGTATTTCATCCTATTTCATTATTTTAGTTTTATTTGTTTTAATCAATTTTTATTTTACTTTATTTTATTTTCTTTAGTCAATTTAATTTTATTTATATTTTATATTATTTTTATGCAATAATATTTAACCGAATCTATTCACAACTAACCTTTGGATAAGCCTTTAGCACCGGCAAAATAGCTTTATATTCGTAGGTTTCACCCTTCTCCAGCGGGCACTTGAGTCCACTATCAACACAGGCATCGGGATTCTGTAAATGGAAGGGCATCTCTACGCCCAATACTTTGCCATGCACTACAGTTGTAATTTTAGAGGCTTCCTCATCTGAAAACAAATTAAAGAAAGAATACAATTAAACAAATTGAAAACGTGAACGTTATGCAAAACTATAATAAACAAGTAATTAAAAAATAAATTTTTAAGACAAGCTTTTGTTAGTGGCTAAATTTTTTGTGGAGTTATTTCTTTCCATTTAAGTAATATAATTTCTATATACGAAACGAATCGGACCATAAATAGGGTTTTTTTTTTAAATATCTCCACTCCTGCGCCACCTATCGCGCAAAATTTTTTGTGGAGTTATTCCTATTTCATGTAAGCAGATAGAACCTTCCACTTAGGCTTGAAGTTTCGACTACAATCCCTAAAAATACCATCCCTGCACCTTGACCTTAAGGGCGCTTGTAGTCATTTATTGAACAGGAAAAACTGATTTTGGCACAATTTTTATTTTATTTTTTCAATAGCGAAATTTTCCAGTATTTTTATTTTTTTTGTTCAATATGGCGTTTAGAGCTTCTCAAATATTGCAAGAAAACGCGATTTTTTGACATTTTGACCTCGTTTTCCTCAAAATCTTGAGCTGTTGGAAACATTACATACCTACGGTTTCGTAATCAGCACAAAAGTTTTGACATGTGTTAACGTTGAAAATTGAATAACCTATTCGGGCTATCTTCAAAGGTATTTTGTAATCAGGTTTTAAAGGTCTATTGCAGCACAGCTACTTGTGGATGTATGTACGGTAAAGACAGGCCGCTAATCAAGCAATTAGCCAAGCTTTCTCGATTAAGGCGCTAATTGAGCTCGATTTACCATCATACAAAATTTCAATTATTTATTGCTCGATTAGTGCTTAAGTGAGTGCTAATTGAATGAATTTGTTCATGCAATCCTGCTTGGTATGTTTAATTTTGACTTTGAGGTAGGTTTATTGAACAAATAGCAATCAGCTGTTTGTTTCTGGTCCTCTTTTTACAGCTGATATTCTATCAGGGATGGAAAACTGAAAGTAGATAAATGTACCTTAAAACTGTGTATTTTTATACGTACATATTAAAGAAAATAAGATGATACTCTTTCCTTTCGATAACATATACGCTTCTGGACTCACATTAAACGAATTTGGCTATCAAAAGAATCTTTTTGAGCAGTTCAACACAAAACTATATTTTCGTAAAAGTGAACCACTTTCCTTCGAGTTTTTCGATCTAACGTTTTAAAAGGAACTATTATCTGTATATCTGGCGTAATCAACTACAGTTACGTTACTTTGATCACCTTTTTGTATCATTTGTATGCCCCTTCACAAAGGAGGGAGGCTATTGGACAAGTTACCCACACCAGCGAATTCATTTAAATGTGAATTCAAATAAGAGCTGATTTCCTGAAAAGTTATTTGACTACGTTCCAAATGTACCTAAAATGGTGTGTTTGTACCGAATGTACTTTCAAGCTAAATAAAGGTACGATTGTACCAACTTTTCCATCACTGTAGCTAATCGAGCAGCTGACTGTGTGTGAACACCAAAAAGCGGTAGCTCAATTAAAGGGTTAATTGACTCAATTAAATTTCTGTCTGAACTTAAATAAATCTGCGTCTTTAAATTTTTAATAGGACGGCAGGATTTCTCCCAAGGACATCGAAAAAATTAATTAATGGAAAAAGTACAGTGGCTTTGTAAATACGTCCTTACAAGGCTGCAAAACGATGTGTTTTCTGGTAGAATAATTTGTGTATGTCCTGAAAATTTGCAATTGTACAAAATAAAAAAATTGGGACGACCATTTTTTTGTGTAGTCACACGATTGCACTATGGCTGAAATAAGCACTTTCTGGGGCCAAAAGTCCAACTTTCAATTTTTGCTTTAAAAATTTTTAACGGGCGGACTTTATTTTAGATATTCTAATTAGAAAAGAAATTATAAATTTATGACCGCAAGGTAACCCTGCTCCCCTATCTGTTAACCAAAATTTTGTGGTTTTGGTTTTAAGTATTTTGTGCTAGAATTTTATTATAATATAAATAATTTCTTCATGATCCGATGCTCGGATTTGAACAAAATTAAAATGGGACCACCTGTGAGGTAACACCTTTCCTATAAAAAAATAATTTTAGAAATCGGTTAACGTGGTTCAAAGTTATGCGGTAATATATATAAAAAAAAAATAAATAAATATTCCGACGAATTGTGATTACCTTTCCCCTTTTTGTGAAGTCGGTTAGAAAGAAATATAGAAAGCGAAAAAAAACTAATAATAAAAAAATAAAATAAATAAATAATTTATTAATTAATAATTTATTTTTTTACGTGTTTTTTACGCAAGGGTGCGCAGTGCGGTGACTCCGTGTTCATCGCACCGAACGACGAATATGTAAAAAAAGTAATATTCCGACGAATTGTGATTACCTTTCCCCTTTTTGTGAAGTCGGTTAGAAAGAAATATAGAAAGCGAAAAAAAAACTAATTATAAAAAAAAAAAATAAATAAATAAATAATTTATTAATTTATAATTTATTTTTTTACGTGTTTTTTACGCAAGGGTGCGCAGTGCGGTGACTCCGTGTTCATCGCACCGAACGACGAATATGTAAAAAAAGTAATGGGAGTTAGCTAGCTACATGTCTTTGCCACCAACAGCACGTATTTGTAAGAATCATTTTAAAACCTCTGGCCCATTAGAACTTGAAGAGGGATCTCCCTATGTGAGGAATAAAAGAGTACCTTGACCAACTTTATAACTCGCTTAGGAGTCAAATATCTAGAAGTATTTTAGATAGGGTAGCGGAATTTCTTATAAAGGTTTAACAAATTTCCGAGCTAATGGAAAGGGGGAGTGGCAACTCCGATATGGTCTAAAATTTTCATCATACATAACTCTGGAAGACTTTAACATAAATTGAATTATGTAGAGTTGGAAGTATTAAAACCCGAGCGTGGCACCTCCCGGTAACGTTTACGCGGCGAATCTCTGAAGCCTTAAGCTTAGATCGATTGGCATCTTATAAAACTATTGATTTTTCAATCTGCAAAAACGACTTTTTGAATTTGTTATTTTCTATTTTGAATTAATTTTGTAAATATATGCGAATGCACAGAAGAATTCGTATGCCACTAATATAAAATTTTTAAATTATTTTATATATGTATGCATTTGTGTGAAAACGTAGGGTGGAACCCGCGCGTATAGGCTAGTTATAGTATATTAATTGGTCTTTTTCGTGATTATTTATCGATGATTGCTGTTGTAATAAAATTCCTCTTTGACTTACTTAGCGCAAAATTAATTGTGATCGAAGCTGTTGTATTGCGTTTAAGTACGCATTCATTCTTTGTTGTGTCACAGTCTGATATGACAACTTTGTTGAAACTGCCAGTTTTAGAACCTGAAATTAAAAAAAATACAATTTTATTAAATGAAAAAATTAAATTTCCCTTTTTTCACTCAAAAAGATTACAATGGAAGCAGATACATTATATATATACGTATCGATGTACATACATACATACATCTATGAACATTTGAATAACTTAAGTATGCCAAGTATGGCCATTTTTCGATAAAAAATTTTAAATCGTACAGTATCTTTACAACACTCATCATACCTTTACAATTAGGGTATTCACAAGATGTCGCAAGCGTCGTCATGTCATAACGTCATAAAATTTTTCAATGGAAAATAACGGTTGAAATGGTTTTAAAGGACTCAAAGTGTATAACAGGAGCTATATATATATTTTCTATCGGTTTAACAACATTTTGGTTTGATTAAAAATCCTCTAAAAGCAGTTTAGCCTTATTTTACATTAAAAATATGTATAACTTTATGACATGACGACGCTTACGACATCTTGTGACTACCCTCAATATTTAGGTGCGTTTTCTCAAGTAGCTTTTAAAATTTATTTGGCCTTTAAACACTTTTTTTGGGTACTTAATGTATTAATTAATGTTAACTGTAGTTTAAAATGAACTTTTAATAAATGTTTGGGAAAACGTCCTATATCTTTTTATCGGAAATCCAAACTTTTAATACTACCTATCTACATACTAAGTTGTTTTTTCAAAGATCTATAGACACATACATACATACATACATACATACTTATGTACATCTGCACATACATATATAATTTGCTTTCACTGACTCTCCTACATACATATGTACATAAATATATGTATCTACACAGCCCAATTTAATTTAATTGAATTCATTTAAAACTCGTCACTTTGTAAATGAAATTTGTCGAATGAGTAACCAGAAAAGTGATAAAATATGTCGAGAATCGTACAATGTAAAAAACAAAAACAAAAATTAAAAAAAAACCGCGAATATTATTGCATACATTAAAGGCGGTCAACACCGTTTGCCAGTAAAAGCTTTGTGGAGCTGGATAATCAAATAAATGCATTTATAAAGCGATCGCCGACATCCGCAAAAAAAGTGCTGT